CGAAATTGGAAACTTTTGTTTTTGTATATTAAGATTGGAAGTTTGGAACGTGAAATATGAAATTGCGTAATATGCAAATAATTCACTCGGAATTATTAACCACTAATCATGTGCTTTAATACAAATCCAATTTTAAGGGAGAGAAGTTTGATTTCCGACAAAATTTTTCCTATCGGGACTTTAAACCTGATAAAAAAAAGTACATGATAATTAAAAATGGAGCGAGGTAATCAAACGTAATTCGTGAGGAATAAGTAATGAAAAGAAAGATTCCACATCCTCTAATGTTACAGACTTGAGCTTTATTTGGAAGTATGAAATATAATTGACTTAAACTTTGTATGTCGGAATGATTAAATTAATCGAGCGACAAAATAATAAGACGACAAATAGGATTTTACATAGCAAATATTATTCACACATCACAACACACTTTAAAATAATGACACTGGCAAATCTGAATTATTTTCAACATATTTTATTTCGGGTAAATTAATCTAAATAGCTTAGTACAAATCGCGAGGAAAATACGAAAAAAAAAACGAAAAAAATAATTTTTTACGAAGAAAAGGAAGGCGAAGAATAAAAATAAAAAACGAGAAATAGAATTTTTTTTTACATAGCAATTGACCTTAATGACCTTAATTATTTGAGTAGTCATTTAAAATTTGTTGCTGAATGCCGAATATTTTTTTTTTTTCATTCTAAAAATCCGAGTGGACAGCTTTTTTTTTGTCCAAATTAAAAATTTATCAAACATCTTTTAGACGTTCAATTAATAAAACACGATAATCCGGGTTGATTGATTGGGTTGTTTTGTCCAGTGAAAAAAAAAAATCCAGTTTCTCTTTTCAACTGCATTCGGTTTCGTTGGTGACCCATTTTCTGCGGTGATATATGAGGTAAGGTTAAGTGGGGAAAAAGGTTGGTTTGTCTAGTATAATAATGTAATAGAATATTAAAACAGAATTGTGAGCAAGTTAAAAGAGAAAAGATGCTTGTTTAAAAAAATAGAAGGTAAAGGTTTACGATTGATAGTACATGATTATTTAGTGAATTGAATAAGTAGGTCGATTCTTATAGATAAAACTCCGACTCTGAGCCTGTAAATATAAAAATAATAAAAAAAATACGTATTAAAATGATTAGAAATCTCAATTATAATCACCAATAACATCCTTATACATTTACAGATTTCCTTACCAGAGGAAACTCACGAATGAAGAGCTTGCGAAAGAATTGAAGGATTAGGTGCTTATTATATAGGGTAAGGCCAACGCTTGGTAACACATAAACTAATTTTTGAAAAGGAGGTAAAAACATGTTTTATAAAATAATATTTAGGAAAACCTTGTGAAGAGGAGGCTGTATTGTTAAGAAAAGATCCAATGAAAATTGAAGTGAATGAAAAAAAGCCCTTCAAAAGCCCAGCATAGCCAGTGTATAGCCGCCCGGTTTTCACAAATTTTACTGTTTCTTCGACTTTGCGAATGAATTTGTTCATTCAACAGGAGAACAAATATCCTTGGGCAGTGCCAGACGGCAACCAAGACACAGTCTAAGGCCAAACAATAAGCCATAACAGATAAAACAGGTTACATAGAAGATTTGATCCAAGTTACTAACCGGTCTAAAATGAATTGGTTAGTTTTTAATTCCAGACTTACCAACCATTCGATTAACTCTGGGCAATTTAGATCTCAAAATTCTATTTTTTTTAATTACGATTACTGATCGGGTATAAACTACTGTGCCACATTTTTCACACGATCTTTTTAATCGCCACTAAACATTAAATTCCACGTGAACCATAAATGTACTGTTAATCCAATAATATGTTTATTCGAATATCAAAAATATATATATATTTTTATATACATATACACACATATATATAGAAATCTAAGGATAAAAATAAAAAATAATACATATAATATGTATATATATATAGAAATACAAAGAAAAAACAAAAAATAATAAAAATAAAGAAAAAAAAAATGAAAAATATAAAATCTATTTACATTTTACTAGGAAATAAAAATAAATGGAACAAATAACTAATAATGAATCGTAGTGCTTAAATCAATGAATAATAAATCGATATTTTTTTTTTTTAAAAAAAAAAATAATAATAATAACGAATTTAACGATTCTGTAAATATACGGTAAAGCGATTGGAACGCATGAAATTTACGAATGTATTCCCAGCATGTTTGGCATGTACGAATGCCTCTAGAAGTGTAATAAGGGTTGCAAAAAAAAAAAGGATTAATAATTGACATTTTTACGAGTTACAAATTTAATAAATTCGTATCACTAACCACTTTATGAAAATATAATATTTATAGGTAGAATCCTTCATTCCTCATAATATAAGTATTATTAATTGTGTCTTAAGTTTATAAAGCTTAATTTAATATCATAATTTTTTTTCATACTAATTTTCTCAAGATTAAATCATAGCCGCTTTTATATTTGATTTGAACCTTACGCAGCAATCGCAGCATCAAAGACGTATGAAACACAATAAGGGGGGATACGCGGACGCGTTCATTTCAATATCTTGGCATAAATAATATACACCCTATTTTCTTTTGTTCATATGCATGGAACAGTCGAACATACGCTTCAATCAAAATAGTTAGTCCAAAAAGATTTTACATTTGCGAACGTATGATAGTAATAAAATATACAATGATTTTATTGAATAAAAGTAAATAAAATAATGTGACACGGAATAAAGTTTCCGTGAAATATATACTGTATGTATATAAATTTATAAGAAGGACTGGAAGCTTAGATTAGATTGATCAATTTAGACATATGACTAATTGAATGAAATAAAGAAAAATAGAAATAATTTGCGACTTATTAGACATAAGTGGATGTTAAAATATCATTAATTATTGAAAAAAAAAAAATTAGTGATGATGGAAATTCTTTCAAAAGTTCCGTAATTGTATATATACGCATATAGTGTACAACAAAAAGAAAGTTTTTAGTGGCTCTCATTAATTTACTAAACTATATTGCATTGAGAACTTTTGCAAATCATAATAAATTTTCCGATTTGAACTCACTTAAAGATTTATGGGGCGTTCTGGCCGTTCTGTGTATCTGCATCTGTAAAAAAAAGATTTATTGATATAAACCTATTTGAATATGAAAAATGTCGATCAGCGATCCTCTATCAAATTTGGTTTATCAACAATTACACTTTAAACAAAGGACATGAATAAATAAATACATCATATGCATATAGTAAGCATATGACATGATTAAAAAAAACTCTAATATTTTATTAGACGTAGGGTTCAAACAGTTTATTTTGCATAAATAAAAACCAAAATGTGTTTACAATTAACATGTATTATATCATCATCACAATATTTTAGTGTTACGTGAAAATGTTAGAAATAAGAATATTAAAAATGGCATAATTAAAAATTTATTACTAGAATAAGAAACGGGGTCCGTTGTGGGGCCTGAAGTGTCGCTACATTCGCACCAATAATTTTAGTGATATATTTCTTTATGAACTTCTTTTAATCTAATTTTACGCATTTTAATCGCACTTGTACTTTGTACTTGGAGGTTTGTTAATTTATTAGAATTTCACTTAGATTTTATTTACTGGAGTTTTTTCTTGTAATTACAATTAAATCACAATGTAAAAAATGTAATAGAATGATATTTATTACTATAATAATGTGTATACGGAGACGGGTCTTCACTATAAATGCTGTCTTATACTATTTATAGTCTAATCTGATCCCTAAACCTTATTTTATTTTATTTTATTTTTGGAGAACAAAAAAATCACATCTGCGCAGTGATATGTGGCACAAATTTTTATTGGCTGTAAGAACTGATCTTTTATCTATTAGTCCTCCGCTTACGCTTCGGAATTCCCGTAAATCAATTTATTAGATACATGTAATAATAATTAAGGGGTTCTTAATTTTAATTTTGGAAATTTTATTTTTATTTTTTTATTTTTATTTCACAAAGTGAACGAGGTTACAGTACAAATTACAAAGAAATTAATAACTAAAATCAAAAGTAAGGCGATGTTATCTTGGTGGTAAAAATGAGAGAGAACGGGAGCTCCGCCGGATAACACAATGTAAAAAAAAGGGTACTTCTAATTACATCTGTATTTTTCTTTATCAAGCAATACTATACGTAAATACTGTCAGGTATAGAATGCTGTTGTTAGATAAAGATCCTTCGTATAAAAATTATTTCATTTTCATTCAATCGAAAATGAAAGTCACGATACAAATTATTTATACGTAAGCCAAAAAAATGAAATGGCCTAGTAGTCTAGTACGTTCTAAGTGATATTCGTAAGATTTGTCACGAGATCGGCGATCGTGTATTTCTGGAAGGTTCTTCCGATAGGAATTTGTGTAATCATTGTATATTTCTGAAAACGGTATTTTGACACGACGAGCCTGTGATTGGGCGAAGGAACAGTCGCTTTGTCGAAGCTCTAAGATATTAGTAATGAATGTTGTAGGTTTGTAAAGACGCAGAACAGCCTGAGAAACAGGTGTGGTGGTAAAACGGTCATAATGTATTTTGGGAAGAACTTCGTGGGTTTGTTGGAAGAAGTAAAGTAACGATTGTTCCTAACTTTTACTCTTTTAGCACGAAAATATAAATAACCGAAAAAAAATGAAAAGGTAGTTGGTAGCGGTAAAGTATGTTTGGAATATGTTAAGTAGTATAAAATTCTAACTTAATGAACTGGAAACGTTGGGTCAGTCGACCCCTATATAGTCACACCCTTCGGGCGGTTGGGCCAACGTAGAGGTCTGCTACTGCACCATGTGACCATGCAGATCATTTACAAATAAAGCATGTGACGCAAATTCGCGATAAATATTCATAATATTCTATTCGCGTCTTTCTTGTAAACACTGCGCATAAGTAAACACTACAACTTATTTTCGTATTTTCTTGTATTTTCTTTATTTTTGTTAAAAAAAATAATAATGTCCAAGAATTTAGAAATTGAAACACCGAATTCTTTTTCTTTCCTCGCTCCACGTTACAGAAACTTGAATAATAGTGCAACTTTTAGTCAAGGAGATTCTTTTTTTGGTACATTGAACGAATTTTTTTTCGAAGCATTTAATATGGTTTTGTTATTAATTTTATTAACTACACGTTTCCTAAATCCCATAGGTTCCTCAACAAGTTCCGCAACAAGGAGACTAACCCTTCTTACACCGTCAAGGGATTATGCTAAATTTATAATTGAGAAACTTACTACTAAGAGTCCTTTGAGAGAACCAAAAAGAATAAAATTTCTTGATAATCTCGACGTAAAAGCCAGTGATGATAAAAATAATGAACTGCCAGTTGTAAACTTTTTAGAAAAACCTGTAAACGAGGTTATTATCAAACCTACTAATATTGATAAACAAATAAAAAAATATCTTGGTCGTAAATCTCAAGGGATTCGGGTATGAATATTCGTATAATACCTAATCATATAATCATATTCTTATTCAAATAGTCAATACCTTTGTTATTTATATTTTAAGAAACGACAACAACTTATCAAAAGATTTAACGCGAGAAAGTGTTCGGATGCGCGTAAATCGCCAATTATTTCATTGGCAGAGCGTATACAACAATTTATAGAAAAAACTCCAGACAAACTCAAACCAAAGCTTGTGACAATGAGAGTAAGGGAACATGTCATTTCTGATAGTTATAATTAAATTAAATTTAACTAAGCTAAATTTAACTAAGCTAAAAAATTTAAATTTTATAGTCTACATCGAATTATGTTAATCTTCCTACAAAAACGAAGTCTCCATTCTTGCGCACTAAATTAAGGGCTGAAAGAACCAGGTAAACTTAATTAAATAAAGAGTTTTTCTCCATTTTATATTTTATATATTAAATATTTATAATAATTTCTATAGATTGAAGAACAATGAAAATGGAATTAATAATAATAAAATACAATCAAAACCGGTTGATAACAATTCTGGGCGCGTCAAGAAAACTGAACCTTACAAATTTAAGGCTCAACCACTTCCTAGTGGTTTACATGGTGTAAGTTACTTGACAAAATATATTTATGGTAAAAAAAAAAAAAATTTCGTTCGTATTTTAATTAATTATTTCTTATTATAGGGTTTGCCTCCGTTACCTACTACTGCGACTAAGCCTTTTAAACTAAGGACTGACATTAGAGGAGAAAAATACCAACAATCTTTACGTGAAAAAATTACAAAGGAAGATTTACCATTTCGTGCAAGACCAGCGCCTAATGTGGTACCTTATCGTCCGAAAAAATCGGATAAACCTATAACGAAAACTGTTGAATTCAAACTTCATTCCGATGAACGTCTTGAAAAACGTAAGGTATATGATAAACAGAGAAACTTACGTGAGCAAGAAGAAAAGATACGAAAGCAAAACGAAGAGGAGGTACGATATAAAACATTTTTATTTGAGAAACGATGATCATAAATAAATTCGAAATGCATTTAAAAATTATAATCAGGAACGTAATAAACGAGAAATTCGAGAAATTCGTCAATTGAGAGCCGAATTAGTACACCGTGCTCAGCCAATCAAAAGGTATGCGCCCGTCAAAATAGAATTTAACAGAAAAGTAACCAAACCCGTTTCACCACTGATTGGGGAGAAAAGACGTATAAAATTACAAGCATTAAATGAACCTAATACGATGTCGGAGAACGTTTCAACAGCAAAAATAGTTCCCCAATCCAAAAATAATAATAGAAAGCTACTAAAAAAGAATGGAAAGGAAAATAATAACTAGTAGATGGTTGACAAATTTGAAAAAAACACTATACAATTAAATTAATCATTTGAAATAAAAAATCAATTTCAAATCTAACGGAAAATGATCGACAAAAAAATTAGTTGTTACTACAATGTCGTCATAAATTTTTTATTTTTATTTTTAATTCACAAAACGAACGGAGTTACAGTAAAAATTACCGAGTTCTACATACTAAGACTAAAAGTAATTCGATAAACTGATAACCAAAACACGACTGTACCTTACGGAAACAGGATGTTGCCACCTTGATTGGAAGAGAAAGAAAGAACAGAACCACCTTCTGAACCTACAATGTCTTCATAAATGATTCCGACTTTTTTCCAGTAAGATCACCTCCCGAATCTCATTATTCCTCTCGTTTTCAAATATGCTCTCATACAAACTTACCTCCGCTTTCCTCAACTCAGCTTACATATTATTGCACACTCCCACTAGAAATCTATCGTCACCTTATCGAAAAATTGTTATCTGAAGATGGTTTACTTATGTTAAGCCGTGGTTTGGCTTACGTAGTGCACTACTAAAAATTTATTCTGATAAAGAATCTTTAGTAATATTACTGAATGCTAATGGACACGAGTTAAACTTTATTAAAGAAGAACTTGCTGAATGTGGTTGTCAAGAATCCTGGACTTCGCGTTGTTAATAATGAAACTAATTCTAGAGAAAGGTTAATTCACGATAAGAGAATTGAGAAGGAGTAAATTTATAAAGATTAATAAAGATTAGAAATGAAAGATTAGTAAAATTAAAATTTTTAATAAGTAAAAGCTATGAAGAAAAGAAAATCGGAAATAAGGATGGATTTAATGGAACGCAAATTTAAATATATCTGATATTATTGTATCAAGGAAAAAAAAAAGAGAGAAAATAAAAATGATCAATGAATAAAGAATCATAATTTAAAAGTATTTATTTAATTTATTTATAGATCAGAATTATACGTTTCTGGTCTATAACTTCAAGAATACTTATAATTGATCTTTTACAAAAACTTATCTGATTACTAGAATTTTAGTTATGCACGCTGAAAGGTATTGCATATTTTTTTCTTTTACAAATGGGTGATACCTTTTTTGGTTATATCTTTGTTGGACAAGTTTTTTGTTTATGTATAAATTTAACATCGAATTGATTAACATATGTACTTCTTTTGCTTTAGGGTGAATGAAACTTCAACAGAAGTATTCATCTTGAGAATATTTAAAAGAAGAGAATAAGGTACATACCTTCATGCTTTTCTTATTACTCTAATATATAATTTGTTTTTTTAATATCGTTATGCTCCCTGTATTTATTGTAGGAGGGATTTATAAAGTCATTTATTTCATCAGGATTATCACCTTTACAAACTTCAATTACGTAAAGTTTTTTTATATCCGAGGTTTGTCTTGTATTTATGTTCACCAGATTTCATGTGATGTGATAAGGGATTGCTTAGAACAGCGTAAAGCGGATGTAGCAGGATTGTATCAACCTTTAAACCCATCAATGAACGAAATTCAACAGGCTATTACCAAATGTATTGAAGCTTGTTTAAGTGAACAAAAAAGGGGGATGGAAATTGGGTAAGTTATAAAATTTCCAGTATTTTTATTTTAACCGAAAGTTTGTGATTAATTCAACGTTGATGATTTATCAGTAGAAAATTCATTTCGATGTAATAATAAAACGACAATTTGGAACCTGTCTGGCATCGTGTCAGATCAAAAACTAAGTTGATAGTTAATGATTTAACTACTCTAAGAAAGTTACTTGGGTATGTATTTGATTAAGTTTTTTCGTTAATTTCTTTTTGGGTTCTTTTTTGAATTTAACTGAATCAACTTTTAATATTATTGTTACTTGGTTAGTTATGGTTGCGTATCATTTAATAGTTTTTTAGAAACCATTATTACAAGTCAAACTCCCACTTCTGCTTTATCACAACAACAAGAATCTCCTTGGTTATCTTTGGATGCTGTACGATTTTTAGTGTAATTATATTCATAGATATATTTTTACAAAGTTTACGTTTGACTGGTTATACAAATTTATCGGGGTTTACTTTATTTAGGTGGCGAAAAGATGTGTATTCGTTCGTACATCAACTACAAATCCTACAGATAATACTCAAAAAAATTCTTATTCAAACATATCCGACATCAAAATTACCTCCGGATATACAGCCTGTATTAGAAGAAGTTCCAAAATGGAATTTATTGGCAGAAATATTACAAGAGATTGAATAAGATATAACAAGTCACGCTACTGAAACTTCAAGAAATTCTTCCGAAGAAGATTTAGATCATTTAAACAATACTATATTGATAATGATGGAAAATGAAAGGGAATATTCACAACTAAGGGAGTATTTATCAACTATGCATATTGCTGAAAGACAAGGATTGGATAAAAGTAGTATTATGTTGGAAAGATTACTAAAAAATTATTTAAATGGAAAAGTGGAATGAGTAAAGTGAGTAAAAATTTGTTTAATGAAAATGGTAAAGAAAGATGTAAGGAAGTAAATAGTTTAAATTTAATTAAATTCCTTTAAGAAAAGCTCAAGAATAGCGAATTTGTGATTATTAAATTACATTATTATTTTTTTTTTTAAAAAAAAAAAAGTTCTTATTCTTACATATAGCACAAATTTTTTAAAAAAAATTTTTGCCTATTTGATAATCATAATCAAAATATTTTTTGTTTTTAAATATACAAACTTCCTAAAAAAACTTATTAGCTGTAATTTTTACCTATTATATGATTGTAAATTATGTGATCGTCATCTTCATTTTCTACAAGACATAGCCTGCACTTTACATCTCCATATAAATCATATCTCCTTTCTTTCATAATTTTCAGAGTTGGTAATAAATTGTTTATAAGTTTTAAGTGTTTAATGAAATTGTTATTTACTGATGTTGTTGTGCAGTTAAATTTTATATTCTTTTTAAATAATGCCCAAGTAACTTTTTTTTATATCATGTATATCATATCTTGGAAAATTCTTCTGTTGAAAGACCATGATGCTTCTACAAACTTACAGTATATAAATTATCTATAAATTTTCTGATATATCTGTTTACCTTTTTATCATCCCAATATAAATTATATTTTAAGTCCTTTTGTTATAAATCATTAATTATGATGCAGATTAATTTTCCTGTATCATTTTTGCTACTCTATCTGCTTTTTTATTACCTTTAACTTCTGAGTGGTTTTTGACCTTTATTAGTTTCACTTCTAAATGTTTGCTATCAATAAGATTAATTATACTAATCTACCCTTGATATAGCGAAGAAGCCATTCTGCACCTCAAATTTGTTATAGCAAGTTAACGAAAAATTTGAAGAATTTGATTGGTTACTTCATTATAGTGAGGGATATTTTATTGGCTAAGCGTCACATGATTTGTTATATCAAAATTCGCTATAGGAAGGGTAAACTGTACTAATTATGCTGTAATTGTTGTTTTTATACCATATTCATATTTTATTTTTTCTATTCATTAAATTTATTCTTATGTAATTGATGCTATCTATCGTGGCTTAAGAAACTGTAAAGATATTTGCTTTCTGACCCAGTATAGCTGATAGAATAGCTCTCAATTTTGCACATATAGATGATGGCCATTCTGTAATTAAGTTACTACATTTCAGTATTACCTTATTTTTATCATTTATTATTACCCAACCTGTACTCATGTATTTTGTGAAGGTATTTAATTTTGTATTAAAATGGTTTGTTAGCAAGCCATCTGTATATATAATATATATTAATCATATTAAATATATTGAATATTGATTTCAAGTGATGTAAAGTGACTTATTTTAATAGTAGGTAGAATTCTATTTATTTATACATATAATAAATGTCAAATTATATTAATATAATTGCTTTTTTTAAAAATATTAAATTTATACAAGTTTTACTATTATAAAATTATTTTTTATCTTATTAAGTTTATTATTATTTATAATAAATTAATTATTTAATATAACTATATAAAATAAATGGTCAAATAATTTTAATTGCTTTTTATAAAATAAAATTACTATATTTGTAATATTATAATTCTTTAAAATTTACAAAATTTGGGAATAAATTATGATTTTTTCAAAATATTTAAACTATTTAGAATAATAACAGATAATATTATTATATAAATATAATAAAAAAAAAAAAATTTTTTCTTTATAGATTTTGAATTAATATTTTTTTGAACTTTTTTTTTATTATAAAATTATATAAAATACTTTCTATCTTAATTTGAAGTTTTAAATTATTTATTATATTTGACAAATTTAAAGTTTTTCTTAATTCTTATTAATTCTTATTTTTAGCAAATAAAATATATACCTTAAAAAACATTAACATACTTTTAAATATCAACAAGATTTTATACTGCATTTTTCAATTTTTATCAAATTTAGGCCGGCATTATAAAGTTGACCGGAATTAAGCCAATTTGGCTAGAATGCATTTTTCAATTTTTATCAAATTTAGGCCGACATAATAAAGTTGGCCGGAATTAATCCAATTTGGCCAGAATTATGGATTCGAAAATCAAATTTAGCCAATAAACCCGATTTTAATAAGAAATAAATTTTATTATATGCGCGGTAATTGATATGTATGTATCATTTTTTTTTGCAAAACTATGAAAAGATGAAGGCAAACTTATTAATTCTAAGGTTGCAATAGTAGAAATTCTTAAAGAAGAAAGCAGATCACTTTATAAATTATCTGATAATATTTCTTTTATTTGTGATAAACCTCAAAAAATTCAAATTATTAATAAAAAAAATCAAACCTAGTGGTAAATTTCAATTTTATTGAGTATTGCTAAATATCACCGCTTTTGATTGTCATCTTACAAGAATTTCGGGCAGAATTAAAATAAATATGTCATGAAACTCCATTGATATTTGCTGATGCTGGTGCGGTGAAAATCACCTGTGGTGAGATTTAGCAATGCCCTTTTATTATTTCTATATAAATTTCTAAATAAATCTATTTTTCTTCTAATTTGAGATAATTATATAAATACCCCTCTTGACTTGAAAAGTATGAATAAATCCACGAAAATGAGAAAAATTGACTTTTGAGGTACAGGGAGAAGAAATTGTTCGACGTCCAGCCAAAGCTATGGTGTGATTTTTGCTTAATTTCTCATGAATATAATATACAAAAATTTCATGGAATTCTTTAATTGTTCGTGATGGTAATATGTTCTGTAGGTCTATTATATTCACAGATAGTGTCGCGATGCAGTAACAATCCACGTTCTGAATGAAATGAACGAAGGCACGCTTTACAAAGAAAATTTGGCGAAGAAGGTGTTTGGGAAGGAGAGTAAAGATTACTAGAACTTGAATTTGACGTAATATGTTCTGTAAGTCTATTACATTTACTGATAGCTTTGCGATGCAGTAACAATCCACGTTCTGAATGAAATGAACGAAGGCATACTTTACAAAGAAAATTTGGCGAAGCAGGTGTTTGGGAAGGAAAGAAAAGATTACTAGAACTTGAATTTGACGCCATTACGTTAACTAAAAAGTTATAAATACAAATTTATTAATAATAGCGCTTACGGAACAAATAAAGAATAAAATAACTTTTATAAAATATTATTATTATTATATTAACACTTACACAACTAAAATATTGTCTAATTGACCAATACCTTCTTAAAAAAAGCTTCGTATTTATCGTATTTATGAGTTTTGATTAAATACCTTAATGGATGGGTTAGACGCGGTTTATTTTTTGATGGGCCTTATTTATGATTTATCGATCACCTGTTATTTGTTACACCAGGATCGGATTTACGAAGTCTGCATAAATAAAACTTTCATGTGATATACAAACTAATAAAACTAATAACATGTTCCTAAAATGCAAAGTACACGCGCTAATCTTCCAAAAGGTGAACACGTTTAATTATGAAATCGTAGACGTCGCGTCGTAAAATCCTATAAAATCGTGACGTGATCTAGGAGTTAATTTTTTTTGCTTTCTCTTCCCAAAAAAATATTCGGTTCCGAAGGTTCAATTTTTTTCTTATAAAATAATTTTTACGAATATTTGATATTATGCGTCGGGTTTACTAACAAATATATACCTATTTATTTTTTTTAAAAATTAAAACAGGAAACTTCTGATTTAATAAACCTCACTCGAGAAAATAATTATATACTACTACAATCCAAAGTTGATAAACTCGAATAAGCGATTACGATCTCTCACAAACCAGCTTCACCTTACAAAACTTCAATATTATATATATAATTTTTTTAAAAGAAACATACAGCACAAAGCTGTATCGTAATTTCTGATATCGATTTACAAGACCGAAGTGTAATTTCTGGCAACGGATTAGGCCTTGTCCCGCGCAGTTGACGCAGCGTATAGATAAACTGAATTTACTGTACGCAGATTATTTTATACTCCATATCCCTTTCTGGATTAGTAGAGGTGTTGTTTCTTTGGGTGGATGTCCTTTTGGTGAACCTTCTTTTGGTGGAGGTGGAGGTGGTGGTGCTGGGGTTTTTGATGTTTTTTTTTGTGGGGGCCCTTTTGGCGGAGGAGGAGGTGGCGGTGCTGGTGCTTTTGGTGGCTCTTTGGGTAGAGGTGTTGATGCTGGTGCAGGTTTAGGTGGTTCTTTTGGTGGAGGTGGGGGGCGGTGGTGCTTTTGATGGTTCTTTTGGTGGGTTTCTTTTGGTGGTGGTTCTCTTTGTCCAAAAGCAAAGTTATCTGGACGAAAAAGTTGTCCAAAAGGAGGTGCTGAACTTGTAGATTCTGTATTATTAGACAAGAAGCAGTATCTTGTGACTGTTTACAAGGTTTCCAAATTACTCATTCCCTTTGTGGAGGTACTGGCTCAGTACGTTAGCCTCCGCCTCCACCAAAAGCAAGTGGCGCTGGAAACAATTTAGCAAAAGGCCATTACCTGAACTTGTGTTTATTAATACAGAATCTACAAGTTCAGCACCTCCTTTTGGCCAAAGGTTCGCCGGAAACAATTGGGCATTGGGCAAAAGGCCATTACATCGAAGGGTGCTGAACTTGTGGTTTCATAAGTGAGAAAGAAATATGTTATGAAATTTTGTTTTGTCATCATAAGAATGTCACTGTTTTATAATATTACGCTATTACATAAAGCTTTTTTATAACTATTTTGAACGTGACACGGGTTTCCCAAAAAGTAAATTGTCTATGCTGATCATTTAATAAATTTAACGAAAAACAAGAATTTTATTAAATAAATCAAAATTGACATTTAAAATCAACTTTGACGTTTTAAGTAAACTTGCAGAACAGACAAAAATACACATACTGTACTTTATGTTCCTTTTAAAATTATATTTATTAAAAAAATAAAATTATATATATTATATACTTTACATATAAAATCAGTAAATCAGTCAAATAAATCAAATAAATCTTTTATTTTGAAATTTTTATCTTTTAATCTAAATGCTAAATGTCTACAAAAAAATAAATTAACAGTCAGACCTCTGACTATCTAAAGGTAAAATTATTCTTAAATTATATTTTAGACTCATTAAGAATCTTTGCACAATTTATTACGAAAATTATAAATATACCACGTCATCCTTTTATAACCAAAACCAGCCTTTTCTTTATTACTTAAATTAAATCTCAAATTTTTTGGGCCGGTGCTTTAATTAGAAATGTTTAATTAATAACGAATAGTTATTCAATTAATATAGTAAATAATATATTGCATACTTACATTATTGAGTTTTATAAATAAAATCTGCAAATATACTATATCCAGTATAGTTCGTCGATAAAAAATATATCTAGCACAGTTCGTCGATAAGTGTTACAAAAAAAAAAAAAATCTGCAAAAATATATCTAGCGCAATTCGTCGATGTAATAAATATTTTTTAATAAAGTCTTCCAAGCCTTATTATTTTCTTTTCTTTATAAAGGAATGAAAAATGATATTATAACATACAGAATTCAGTTAGAATCTTGTAAAAATATATATATATATATACAGTATATAATAATAATTAATAATAATAAATAATGTATTTAAATATTTAAATATTGATATAATAAAATAATAATTAATAATAAATGTTAATAATAAATAATAATAAATAATAATAATGTTTTTAAAATATTTAAATATTGATTTGATAGGAAGTAAATGTATTAAGAGGTAATTTCGAGAAAAAGTGATAAGGAATTTATAATACTGTAATAATGTAATTATAAAGGAATGTATATGAATTCAGTAAGTTTTAATACCAAAGTAGGAAAAAGAAGAAAAGATGAATAAAGTCATAAAAATTCAATCGCTGGACGGACAGCTTATTTATATAAAAAATTTTCGATTTTTTTTTTACAAAAACCAGTTAACGGTAAGACCGATTGTGTCAACTCACACATGAACTAGTTTGGTCTTTAGAGGCTTTTGGAGGCTTGCTGTTTTTTTTCGTTTTTTCTTTGTAGAAAACCGGCCAACAGTCAACGGCAAGGACGATGAAAAGGCGATTATAATTGACATCCTGTTTGATTAATTGAATTAGTTTATAATTCCTTGTGATCAAAACAACAATTTGTTTTATTAAGGCTTTAGGGGGCTTGGAAGCTTGCATTTTCTAATTTGGAATATGTTTTTAATGGGAACAAGCTGAAAAGATCGAAATCACGAAATGATCGAAAATTTTCAATAAAAGAATACATTAACATTTGAGGATAATCTGAGTCTTATGAAATTTTATTACCTTATTTATCAAAAAGGAAATTTAAAACTTTAATGATCGTCTATCGATATATTACCATATATGGGTTGGTATTAATTGATCCATCGTTTGATGGCTTTATGATGAATTTTCACACAAATAAGCCAAGCCATTTTAACGATAGGGGTGATACCCGATCCAAGTATGACAGTAGTAAATGACTTGGTAATAAATAAACAATGTTATTGTTTCCAATTTTGGCAATAGCATATGTAATAGTACGAAGTGTCAAAGTAAGTACATGTTCAAATATTTTAATTATTGAAGAGAAAAAAAACTCCAATTATTTGTAATAAGGTAATATACACTATTTATCGAAAGGTTCAATGTGAATATTCTTGCAGTTTGTCTTCGATACAAAAAAAAAAAAAAAGAATAAAAGATCAAAAATATTTTTTAAAATTACAAGTTATAAATTTCAAATATGATTTTCTCATCTTGTTTTACATTTATGGCAAATAGATTGATAAAAATTCTGGTTATGGATACAAATCGGACAATGGCCCTTTTAATTTATGGGTACGTATTAAAACGTAATATCCGATCGATAAACAATAGAATCTTCGAAAGCATACTTGAATGAAACTTTTCCAGTTTAAATGAAATTCTTTAAAAGGAACTACAAACATATGAAAAAAATGTATCGTATAATTTTACAAATTTTTGCGTTATGAATTTTCTATAAAAGATGCGGTAATTGTTTTTTATAATCGTTCCGATACCGGGAATTTTGCCACATATAACAAGAAATAACGCCACAAATTAACTGAATGTTCAAGAGCAATATCTCGTAGATCAACAAATTCGTTCACATTTTCACATTTGAACTTGTATGACTTGTATGTAACCTTGTTGTACGACATCAATTTTTCTGCTGAAAAATATTTTTATACATGAAAAATGATCTACAAATATATCTCTATCGATTTTGTAACTTATTGGTATAATCGTAACCTATTGGTATAATCAAGAAGAAAAAGGTATTTATTATGCGTAAAGAATTATTATAATTAAGATTAGTCATATTATTTTAGTGACGTACGTATTATACAAGTAACGTAACGCAAACATTCGACTTGATATTCCGATATGCTGATTGCTAGCATCTATTTTATCTCGTGATTACTATTCTGAATCAAAAAAAGTACGGCAATTTGTTACACAATTTGATGAATTAAAAAATCTGAGGAACAATTATTGTCAATATTTGTCAATATTTGTTTAACTTATGGAGCGAAGTTCACGATGGCGATCAACAATAATATATTTAAATTTATTAGGAAATGAGTCGGATCAGATTGTTCTTATTTGTATGCTATATTTCGTTTCGAATTTAAGGAATAAACTTGAGATTAAAAACAATAATCCGAATATACATAACAAGATGTTCCTGTAACTACCACAAAATTTAAAAAATTCTCTATTATACTCCTTAATATACGAATTTATCTCCCGAGTATGCCAATAAATCATTCCTAAATTTGAATTCTTTATCAAAACAAATACAGTTACACGCACGATCACTAATAAATTTAATAAATCGATTGATATTTCTTTGTATAAAAAAGGATAAATAAAAATAGAATTAATAATAATAATTCCGATTTCTTTCAATTTAATATTGTTGTATTAAATTATATTGTTTTCATCTAATATTGTTCTATTAAATTATATTCTACTAAATTATATTGTTTTCATCTTCAAAAAAAATTTGTCACCATAAATCAGTTAGTTATTTGATACACGAAATTAAATTTGATAGTATCACTATTTCAATTGGTGCTGGAGTCGTAAATGAAATTTTATTTGTGCTGAAGGTGTGGATTATAAATTCACACGGACGGACATTATTTATCATATTATTTAACTTGTAAATAAAATAATAATTAATATTACTAATTTTTAACAGTTAATACTTTTTTCAATTTGAGTTCCTCTCGTTCAGGAATGATAATTAATCGATCTTTGTGCGACATAATATGTTTCGGGAATTTGTTTACCCATCCTTATTATAGAATATCATTGAAACATCATTTGTATTATTCAGAAAACAATGAGCAAAAAATATAAGGAAATTAATTAATCCCTTAAATTAGTAAATAATTGTTGATTTGTACGATAAGGTCTTTCTTTCGAAGCTAAATCTCGTTTGTTCAAAATCTCATTTTCTTTAATTATATAAAACATTGAAATTTTTACTTTCATTATTTATATTTAATTTATAAAAGTATAAAATCTTGTACATAATCAGGTATTTATTTAGTAAATATTTTTTTCTGTTCTGTTTCGAAGTATTACTTCAATTAGTTCTAATAATTAAGTATTTTCTTTCAAAAAAATGTCCATTGTCCCAATTGTAATTTTAAGTACCGAATATATTGGTGACTCAGGGTCAACTCGGATAATTTAAGAATTTCTTTTCATTTCAGTCTGAATATTAAATTTTTATCTTTCCTTATCATTTCTAAATTTAGTTTCTTTTAATCCTTTAAACAAAGTTCTTTAATAAAGAAAAATAGACCTTTCGTTCTAACTAAGTAGGAGATCTGTAAATATTTATAAAATATATAATAATAAAATTTTAGTACGATTGATTCATTAATCGTTTACTTTATTACGAATTTTATTTTTATTGTTAAATTATATAGTATATTGTGTAATGCAAATAATGCAAAGCGGAATAACATATTGTGTTACAAAAATAATAAAAACTATAAATTTTCTTGCCTTGAATTATTCCGAGATTTTGACTGTTAGCTAACAATTACATTATGATTTATGAGTTTATTAAGCATTGAACTCCAATTTCACTTCAAATTTGTAATTACTATAAGGATATGTAAAGTTCAGATCATGATTTCTAATTATTTCCTTTTGCATTGCATTATGAATGATTGCAATTTTAAAATTTAGATCAATTATTTCAATGTCTCTTATTATTTATAAACACTTACAACAAAATAGTTTATTATAAAGATTTAGAGAATAAAAAGATTATTAATAAATTTTTTTTAATTGTAATATACTACTTTTATTTTACCAATTTAAATTCTAAAACTTCTGAATTGATTTATTTGATAATAATAATAATCTTGAAATTAACTTTACTTTTTAACACTTCTGCATATAATATCCTGAACTTTATACAAAATAATACACAGGGTATTTTATTTTACATCCCTTATATAATATCAAATATTTTATTAGAATTAACATTAAAGCTTAAGTTACCAGAATTAAGAAAAGGTATTAAACAAAAGTAAAAATTTTTATATTTAATTGTAGATCTTATAAAATGAAATACATTTAAAGAAAAATACTATATATAGTATTATATAATATTTTAAAAATATTAAAAAAAAACCAGAAAATTTAAAGAAAGTAAATACTAAAATAATTATAAATTAAAAGTTAAATTTTATTAATTTATTTTCAAATTTATTAAATAATAAGAATAATAATAAAAGTAACAATAAAAATGAGAAAAGTATAATGAATTTAAGTTTTAATATTAATAAAATTAATAGTTAAATTTGCATTAATTAATTAAATTTATATTTTTTATTTATTTATAAAATTTCAAAAATAAAAATATTTATATTATTAAATAAAATAAAAATATTTATATTATCAAATAAAAAATATTTATATAATATCAATAAAGCATATATATATAAATTATTAAAAAAAAAATATTTAATAAATATTACTAAAAAATTATCTTCATAGATTAAGAGCAGAATGAAGAATGTAAACATTGATAAGTAGATATTTATATTATCAAATAAAAATATTTATATTATTAAATAAAAATGTTTATATTATTAAATAAAAATGTTTATATTATTAAAAATATTTAAATATTTATATTATCAAATAAAAAATATCTATTATTAAATAAAATGGTTATATTATTATTAAATAAAATTATCTATATTATTATTTTAAATAAAAATATTTAAATGTTTATATATTAGTAAATAAAAATATTTATATTATTAAAATAAAAATAATAGGGTTAAACTAGGGGGATTTGAGATGCTACCTTACCTACCCACCCTTTATAGATATCTATTAACCTTTATGACTTTAAAAAAAGTCCTTTTAGGAGTATTAGAGATTCTTTCACTTTCTAAAGGTATCAAATAACTGATTGAATTTTCTATAGTTATTAAATGTTTTAGGATACTTGTATAATTAAAAGGATATCATATTATTGATTGCTTCTTATATAAAAAGTTCTTAGTAAAAATATCTTAAAGTATATCTATTAGTTTCTTAATCATTATATAGAGGTGATTGATTTCTTGAATATTATATAACTTTAAAAAAATATTGTATTTTATAAAATTTCTGAAAGTTAAAAAAATTAAAAATATTATAAAACATCTATAGTTAAAAATATATTCACAATACTTTAATTGTGGATTATTTGCAATTTGCAATATTGCAAACTGAAATATTGCAGATTTTAAAAAATAATTATTCGCAAATTTGCAATTACAAATAATCTGCAAATTTACAAATAATTCACAAATCTGCAAATAATCTGCAAAATTCATAAATATATATAATATTCTGTACAGATCGAATTAAATTAATTTAGTTAGATTTAAATTTGATTTGATTTAAATCAAATTTGAATTAAATTGAATTTAAACTTGATCAAATCTGATTTATAATTTAATTTGATTTGATTCAATTTGATTCAAATTTGATTTAAATCTAATTTGAATAATTAAAATCTGATTTAATTCAGTAATTTTATTTGATCTAATTCAAATTTAATTTGAATAATTTGAATTAATTTGATTTAATTCATAATTTTATTTGATTTAATTAAATTTGAATTTGATTTGATTTAGTGATTTGATTTAAATTTGATTCAGTTTTAATTTGGATTTGATTCAAATTTGATTTAAATTTAAATTTTGTCTACTTTTTTTACTTTTTTTTTATCTGGACTAAGGTTGCTTGTCTAAACCTCTTCAAAATCCTACGATTAGTTTCGTCAAAATTTTACTATAGATTTATTATAGTTTCGGCAGAGTTTCGGCAGTTTCGGCATTTATAATAAGTTTCGGCAGTTTCACCTTTCTCCAAAGTTTCGCCAGTTTTTTAATATAACTTTAATATAGTTTCGGCAGAATTTCGCTTTTNCGTCAAAATTTTACTATAGATTTATTATAGTTTCGGCAGAGTTTCGGCAGTTTCGGCATTTATAATAAGTTTCGGCAGTTTCACCTTTCTCCAAAGTTTCGCCAGTTTTTTAATATAACTTTAATATAGTTTCGGCAGAATTTCGCTTTTCGGTGAAACGCCATCTTGCCTAAACCCCTAGGTTTCAGCAAGCAACCTTAATCTGGACTAGGAATGATTATAGTTCAGTAAATTACAGTTTGAATTAAGTCAACTCAACTTATGGTTCAGTTCATTTGTATTTTAAACTGAATCACTAAATCACAATTCAATTTATATTAATTTAGTTCAAACTGAACTAAATTGAACTGAATTAGAATTATAAGTAAAATATAAAATTTTTATCAAATAAATTTAAATCACTTATGTAATTTAAAACTTCCTTTATTTATAAATTTAATATTATTTTTAATTATTTCTTAAACTGTACTGTGAGCAAATTTGTTTATGATTTCTAAATTAGGATAAATGATGTTATACATATGACATATGTGTTAATCTTTACTCTAATCCTAAATATTATTTTACTGGATTATAACACCAGATAATAGAATTGCTGTTTCTGAAATTCAGAAATCTTATGAAGAATCATACAAATTAAACGTGCTAGTAAAGATCTTGCAAAAAAAGAACAAATATACTTCAAAAATTTAATTATGGCTTTTACAATTCCAAAGATTGAGTAGTTTAAAGGCTTTGGATTTACTGTAGAAAATAAAGAATATAGTGTAAACATTTGATGATGATAATGATTATATTAAAAAAAAAAAATTGCAATCAATCAATTGCATATATACAAGATGTAGAGAATATACCTCATGATGCATACCTACATCTTATAGCTGTAGAATTGATGTTATCACGAAAATATGCTATTTCTCAGACCCATCAAGAAGTTATTATGATCCGAAATCTACCATCATTTTATTTCATACACGTTTTTTATTATTAAAATAAATAAAACCCACCATCATTTTATCTCTGAAATATTATGTTTTTTTACAATATTCATGCCGTACAATACACTGTATAAGTTATCTTTATATTCAGAAAGTTTAATTTAGAAATAAGAAATATTTTATAGTAAAATAATTATAATTTTGCACTTTTTAGATGTATTTATAAATTTTTTAAATATTACTATGATTAGCATATCAATGATTAAAGAATTGAAAACTTTAATGCTTTAACAGGTTAACTAGAGTTTAATTAATTAAAAGAGTTTTATGTTAATTTTAATTAATTACATAAAAAAAAATAAGTTTTTATTAAAATAATGTAAAATCTTATATATGATAACTAACTAAATTCTTTATATCAATCATATAACTATATAAAAATATAAATGATAAAATACATTATTTCATTATTTTCTTAAAAAAAAATGATATGTTACAAAAATAACCATTAACTTCATTGTTTCACTTAAAATGTTTTAGACTTTTTGAACTTCTGTTAAGCTGATTGACACATTTTTTGGCCATTAGTATTTTCCATATATAAATCATCTATATCTTTCTATTAATAATAAATTGATATTCAATGTCTTTATTTTCAGCTCTGTAGCATGAACGGATAGAATCTGACGAGTGAAAGTCATCATCATCTTGTCTACTTGTCTTTTATTCAATTTCTTCATAATAAATTGACTATAACAGGATCATTATAAACATTTTTTTTAAAAACTTATTCCCATTTGTCCATATTCAATATATATCAATATATATATAAAGGGTACGTGAAATAATTTCTACTCTTGCTGGAGAATCACTTTCACTAGCTAATAACTTTTTAGCTTTTGGTGTGTCGATACATTTGCTTTACAGGTTATTAGTTTGATAGTGATCAAACTGTTAAGAGTATCATGATTTATGGGTATAAGATTCGGGATGGTTGTTGCCAGTATAGGTTCCAAATTGATTCGACCGCTTGATTCATTCTAATTAATACTTGACCTATTCGTATAAGATATATTTGTCATTATATCAGGTTCATTAACAATAGTTTTACTAAGTGCAATTGTACACATAAAATAATATCAATAATTTTTGATGCTTACCTATCTCCTTCCCTTACTCCTCCCTTTAGAAATATTAACAATATAATGTTTTGTTTTTTTCATTTTCAGACATCCGATTCTATCTAGCGTAGCAATTCGGTTGCTGCTTCTGTTCCGTTTCATGATTAGGGTCACAGCGAATAAATCGCATTCGTTCCATCCTTTAGATTAAAATGCACACATTAGATCTTGAATCGTAAGCATGCATTACTAATCCCACTTCATGTTCAAACGTCTTTCTCATCCAAGCTTCCAATAATTTTTTTGTTACTCTGCAAAAATATTAATATGTAAACCTACAAATTTCTCTTATATCTAAACTATGATCCACGCATTTTGTCAACGTTGGCTTAGGGCTTTTTTACTCTATTGCTTTTGGCAAACCTCATTATAACAAATACGATTTTTGCAAATCGTCAACTTTTGTACCTGAAACATTCAGTAGGTAATATTAGTAGAAATATATTCTACCTTTTTGATATCGTAACACTATACAATATTTATTTATATCAAATTATTTGATGCAAAGGATCTTTCCAAATTATGGAAATAACAACTCTACAATAATATCAACTTTTTGAAGATGCGGGAGTTTGTGTTAATCTTTCAATCTTGGAACTGGTTCGAGCTTCGGCTCTATGGTTAACTCTTATTTTGAGGTTTCTTATTATTCTCTTAACTATTTGATGTTCCCTTTCAGAAAGACCCTCACGTAGATCATCAGGAAATCTAAATTCCAATTATTTTTCAACAATTTGGACAAGTGAACGACCACCTTTATATAAAGCAGTTGCACTTAAGTCAATGTTTATCATTATTTTGTCCCTAATGAGATGGCAGATTGATAATACTCTTGCCATACTTCAGCTCCTCCAGAAATAGAACGGGCTCTTCCAGGGTAGCAGGTGAGTGCAGAGAATTTGTAATTAAGAAGAATGAACTCTTACATTCATCGGAGAATAAGACGTCAAGGAAAAATTCGTAACCCATCCTGATATCAACTAATAACCATTAGTCCAATTTTCTGCTTAGAAGTTACAGCTGAATGTGCAACGGCATTAACGGCATTTCAATCAAGCACTAATCAAGTACGAAAAAAAATTAACTTTGAATACATATAACTAAAAGTGTTAAGATTAAATAAAAATAAGATCATCAACTCATCACACATTGTTTGGTGATTATTATGATCACATGCAGTATCGAAACTGGTATCTATGCAAATCTAGAATGACGATATGTTGTAACCAAAAAGTCGTTTTTTTGATATGTTCTTGCTCAGTTGAACGAATTCACTTTGTTCAAAGATTAATATTGGTGATCATGGAAATGACAACTATTTGATTTACAGTTTTACCGTTCTACTGGTACGCATTATAACTACCGGTCACTTTTTCAATTCAATTTTTATTGATTTTATAAAATAGTTTGTTGAACAATAGATCCCATTTGATATTCATCTTTGGATCCTAAAAGACTTATATTGCCTGAAATTTCATAAAGGAGCTTGGCAAAATCACCTGGAGTCGAATTTAAAAACACTCCTTCTTTGGATCTTTGATTTAATAATTAAAGACGCAACTCAATATATTTACAACAGGATTTGGGATCCTATATTTCCTAATGGAGAAGAATTGCTAAAAGAAATCTTAACAAGGATTAAATCACACCAATTTCACGCAATTTGCCTTACAGTCTGGATCTGTAAATCAAATCCGTTTGCAGTAAAGAAGAAATGTTTTACTATAAGCATATCCTTAATTTCCAAAATTCCAGAAAGGGTGACTTAGGCAGGCCTCGCCTCGATGATGACAAATATCTGGTTCTGAGATGACAATCGACAATCGTTAATCCTGTAGACGAAGCTGCTTACATTTACCGCAAAATCATTACACGTTTGATGGATTTGACAACGGTTGAACAGCGTTCACCTTCAGAATTTCGTGTTCTTGCTAATATTAACCAGGAAAGAAATATAATTTGATATCACGAGTTTTTTAAATCGAGTTTTAAGAATCGAGGACCCGAACCAGAGCCAAAACAGATCCGCAAACTGATTATGCCAGACCAAAATGAATCTCCTGTTTTAATAAGAATATAGTATATACAGTATGTTATTATTAATGTGAAAATTCTCTAAAATAATTTATCACATTAATTACATTAATTACATTAATTCCATCTATGTCGATATATTTTTATCAAACTGAAAAGAAAACCTTCCTACCACATTGCTATCTCTAGTGTATCTTCTAATAGAGCTGCCGATTATAATTCAAATTCCTAATGCAGAAATTCTTTGTTCAATACGTTCCTTTCTGCAATCAAGCTTTCTTCTCGATTGTAGTTTTTTTGGACTAAGTACCAATAGAAGTTAAAAAAAATCTAATCAAATTACTCACCTTGCTTTTGGATCAAAGTCGGTATCATCATTGGTAGAGAATCGATGGATTATATCAAAATGTTGCATAATGTAGCACAATATAATCTTTAAATATAATGTGTGAATTTTTGGCCAACAAGATTGCGGAGGGAAATCTTTTGACACTATTACTATCGCTCTAGACTTATGATATGATATGTTAATTTAGGAGATAATACTTCAATATTTATTAGCTTCTAAAAATAGATTTCACATCTCAATATATGATCACGTGAAACAACACTGTGGTTAGTAAATCATATAAAAAGCTTTTCCATCGTGGATGACAGATTCTAAGATTAAATATTTTATCGAACATTGTAAAAAACATGATGGATATTATTTAGTTTATTTCATTAATTCTTTATGCAATATACAGTATATTAGCACAAAGACTTTTATTGCAATAAATTTATTGTTTAACTTAGACATTGCGCTCTAGATTTTAGAATACAGATCACACAATTTTCTAGAAATGAACGCCGTGAATACTAATAAAATGTGTTTCTTAAACCTATTAAGAGACGATGAAATGAAATTTTAAGGTAGTATAATGTATAAAAATTTTTTATTATATAGAATTTTTTCTTTATACTAAAATAATCAAAATTTTTAAAAATATTAGAAATAAAACAAAGATATGTCTCTATGATATTAGTTTAGAATGTTCAATAATAAGTTTATTTATTTAATATTATATAATATTTATGTTTAACTATGTATACGATTCAAATATTACGTAGAATTATGTTGAACGTTACTGAAAAGGATTATAACATTTATTTTAAAAGGATTTCGTGTTAAAAAAAAGAGAATCTTTAACAGTTAAGCAAATAGTATTTTTTAATACTTATTTCAATCTAATGTTTTCTCAAAATCTTTGATGATAATGATATTATAGCGATCACGATCGAAGTTTTTGTTACAAAGATGGTTAGTTTCAGAAAAAAGAGAAAATATGCCCGATTCTTTCTTTATACGCAATTAATTAATGATTACAATTTTAATTAAATAGTAGATTCCATGACTTAGGCTATTGTATCTATGCCTGAAAAAAAAGAATGTGGCTCATTAACCTAACATGATTGTCTATCTAATGATATCATCTTTTAATCATAATAAAGTGGCCTTTATATTCGTTAAGATATGTCAAGTTTTCAGCAGAATTGGTGAAAATAATCCAATAAATTCTTTAAACAAGATAATATTCATTATAATATTCATCATAAAATTTTTCCTTGTTCTCAAAATCAATTTCCCTTTTTTTGGAGGATCGCGTCATCATTATAGTGATTCATTTCCAAAGTACTGTACAAAGATCGATTTCATTATACATACTACACAAATTATTTCGCAATGGTGGTGTTATGGGTGCGAATGAACGTAAAAAAGAAAAAAATACGGAAAGGCTGCCAGCCAATATTGCATTATTATAAACCCAATTTTTATTTATTTACAATTTGCATTAAACATTTAGGCGTTTTATTGTTTTTTAGAGTGATTACATAAGTTACATAAATGAATTTCATGCAATAACCCCAAAATTGGATCTTAACGGATCATAATCCAATATTTTTATTTGTCTTATCCGTGAATTAATTATAATTGTCGACTAATGACTAACTGCACTAGTGTAGTGTGTGTTGTCCTTTCAGGGCTGAGAATTGAATAATTACATATAAGATCCTAATTGTTGTTAAATAAATAACAAATTTCAGTTTATTCTTTGAATAAAATTCTGTAAAGATTTTTTGCGTTAATTACTATCAAAATATATAAAAATATAAATAATTTTTTTTGTCATTATGGATACTGATTCTTGTATTTATCAAATTGGATCATCTTTAGTATCGCTTTTTTTCCTCCAATAATTGATAGGCTTTATTGACTTAAAACAACTCACGCCACCAATGAATGCGAAAGTCCGTGGTAGGTTCAAATGAATTAATTATAATGGAATAGTCGGAATATGACAAATAATGCATTAGATTCGAAGATACAAAAAACATATTTTTTTTATTAAGAAAAAAATGAGGTATACCATTTACACTTAATTAATTCATAACATTTCATTTTTTTTAAAAAAAAACACCACAAAAAAAGGCGCAAAAAATCTCAATTTTTATTATTGTTAATTTCACGTATTCTGGATTGTTTTCACATATCTAGAAGAAAATATTATAAAAGCATTTGCAGCCTTTGCTCTCTTCGTCTTCTCCCCATTCACGTACTCGCCCATTGTAATATTTTATTCAAAGATCGTTATGGGCAAGGCTTCCTTTGGCAAAACTCTGCAACTCATTATATGCGGGAATCCTCTTAGAGCCCCTGATCCGGATTTTCTTTGAAGTTGAATCCAAGGAATTGGACAATCCTCAGGAAACTGCATTGACGAAGCAGTAATTGTCGACACTATGAAAAATTTGTGGTCACGGGCGTTTCTCTCTGATCACTCACGTGATCGTCAGTCATTTATGGGTTTAGATTGAGGGCTTATTATTGAATACTGAATCCAAAATTGTTCCCACCTAAAAAAAATATTGGGCTTTTATTAATATAATCGAAAACCTCACATCAGGCATTTCTTCAATTCCTCTGGTAAGAAAGGACTCCCTCCATAAAGTAACTATAGCTATTCTATTCCTTATCATGAGAATAGTAATCGGCTTCGCATTATGTAGGATGTTTGCAAGATATGTTGGATGCTCACAATCCATATATCCAGAATTTTCGCCAAATAAGAGATATACTTCTGACAAATGATGTTGCCGATATATGATATATCTATGCGAATTTATTGTGATCCTGCCATTATAACACTCCTACTGCTTCTGATGTCGCGGCAATTATGATATCTATCATCAAATCGGGATATAGTTTTTACAGTAAACTGCGTGATGATAGTTTACAAAGAATATTGCATCTTTCATATGACCCGCTTCAATATGCACTGCTGTTTCCAAAATGGATCTACTGTTAAAGTTAGAGGCAGAATTCACTTAGATAACCGATGGGTCTCCTTTTTTCGTTCTTCGGAAGCCCTAAATAAGAAAACCTGTTGGTTAGGAGAATGCTATGAATGTTATCAAAAACGAAGTATAATTGAATGTCTTCATAGATTTTAATCGAACTTCAAAATAGACTTGTTGAAAATAATTAAACAATCAGTCATAAGTACGTGAAAAAGAATGTGAAAACGGCTTATCAGACTTTTCGATAATATCGAAATAAAGAAAAAATACATTTTTAAGGCTGATTAAGCAAAAAATGCTACTTTGAGTACAAAATATTTAGAGAATATTTAATGATTCACAAAATGGTTAAAGAGAATTCATAGGGCGACATGAGAAAAAAATATAATTATTTGAAAAAAACTTCTCGCTAAATCTTTACAGCTATAATTTCAAAATTAGTAAATAATAATTTTCTTTTCTAGCATTATAGTTATCCTTGGAACTCATGTAAAACTTTCTATTTAGATAAAATCATTATATTAGAGTAAAATAATTGAAATTGAGATGTTTGGTTCACAATTTTGACTAACCTCCAGAGCGACTTTAACGTGTTTTTCTTCAACTACATTTGTATTATCGGTTTCTGCTTCATTATTAGCTTCTTGTGCCAATGTTTGAAGAAATAACTTGCAATGATTGTAAATCTAAAACAATTTAAAATAATAAAGATAAACACGTAAAAAACAATAAGAACAAATCGATAAATTTGCCTAAAAGAACGACAACCAAAAAAAACGGTAGTTTATAAAAAAACCCGCACTAAGTTGTCAGTATTCATGTTAGTTTGGCGTGATTTAACGAGTCTTCTAAGTATTCTGCGTCGACTCTGAGAAGGAGTTGAAGGCATTTTTGTTGATAAACTTCTTTACGGCGTTGATTTAAAAAAACTGAATTGATAAAAAAATTTGATTTCGTTTAAATAGCTGACCTAAACTTAACCAACCAAAATAAAACTTTTTGTTAGCCGCTTCTAAAATTATACCTGGTAGGTGAATCCAAACAGAAAAGCAACGAGCAAGTAACTTGAAAGGAAATACACGAAGAAGTAGAGGAAGTAGTTAAATACTTATTTTAATGTCATGTGCAACAAAACACGTCATACGCGCTTTTACACAGAAAATCAGGGGCTCATTAAACTTCTATTAAATAAATCCCGTGAAAAGATGGTTAATTTTCTTTTTTAGAAATTGAATGAGTGAAAACTAATATAATTCGACTTCGTGAGACATGACATTTGGACACCGGACGTTGGTTTTTCCAATTATAGTTTCATAACATCCAGAAGAGAATGACAATTATAAAAATGAAGACAAAAATAGGAGGAATCGCTGCTCGTAAATTTATACGAAGTACAAGAACAAAGATGAGAACTAGATCATGATTTAAAAAGTTGAACATAATATTTAGACGATGAAATTGAGTTTTTGTGGATGGCAATGATCGTTAATTGATGGGTCGATGGATGTTAATGGTAAACCTACTTATTGGAAAATTGAAAATATCAACGTACTTGTTGGTCGAACATAAAGTTCTATTTCAGGACCAAAACTTTTAAAAATATTTATGATAAATTTTAGATTATATTAGGTTCGTAGGGCTTTTTATGTGCAAAATAAAAGGAGTAGCCAATTAAGAGCTTTTAAGTGGAATTATTGGAGGAGTCCGTTAGGGGAGAATCAAGAAATCTACTCCGGATGTAACCACAGTCCACAACGTCGACTACTAAGAGCAAGTATAGCAAGTACATCTAAAGATGGAAGAATTCAAGAAGTTATCACTATATCAGGAGCAATAGAAGCTGTAATTGAATTTGATGACGGTAGTGAAGAAAGAATAGATTTATATTTTGAGTATTTTGATTTAATGAGTAATACATCAAATCAATATTTATTCACTATTCAGTTCTATGATAACATGTTTGTAAATTTATGGTTTTTAACAATTAAATCCATATTACTCTTTTTTTTAGATTAAAACTTGTAGTATAAACAATATATATTATTTAGTTGATATCAAAATTTCAAAGGTTAATTTTCACCAAAAAAAGGCGTTTCAGTCGGATAATTTGGCGAATTATCCACGCCCACAAGTTTAATAGAATCTTTTAACAACTTCTTAACCATATTTGCCAAATCGGCGATGATTTCGGTACGTCCTCTTTGGATTCTGATCGATGCAACATAACGGGATGCTTTAGCGTCCACAGAGGCAGTAACTGCTGGTCGTTTAATGCATATTGCCAATAACTGAATGGTAATGGAAAATTTTAAAAATAGTTGATTAAAGATTAGGTTTTGTAATAAGTTTGCTAGTAACTTGGGTTAATGTAATTGTGCTTATGAAAAGGATTTAAGTTACTATAGAGAAGGTCAACTTACTGTATATGTTCTTGTGGTGGTCCCTGTATGATTTTTCGTGTTTTAAATTAGTTGTCTCGTTATAAATTTCAATATATTGAACGTGAATCTCAAAATTTTATCCAAGTTTTTGAAATCTTTATCAAAAACTTCATCAATGCCTGAGAATGTTCTCTGGACTGTTCACATCACGTGAGTTTTCCAAACCGTATGCAAATATATAAACATTGTAAGAGAAATTTCTTTTTGATCCAAACTTTCATCGAATATGATCACATTCGTATGTTGACATCTTGTCTCGCGTTTGCCAAAGTCCTAATCTCTCAGCGCTCTAAGTTAGTCGGTTCGATATGTTCTCTTTCTTTTTATCAGTTTCGATACATTCAATGTTCAGTTGAATATAATGAATTAAACTTGAATGTTAAGTCTGACCATCTCCACTTTAACCACCAATAGTGATACCATAACGCAAAGTATAATAAACTCTATGATGTAAAGCAAAGGTTAGGAGTATCATTAATATCACCATTAGGTGAACAACTAACTTTACTCAAAGCCTCATCTACAAATTGGACACGTAAAAAAAGATCTTTTTTATCATGAAAATGACAGATCAGTCCATCTATCACTATGGAAAGTTTAAAAATACAGATCCTTGTAATTCCTCTAAATCTAAGAGCTGGCTGTACAATCCTTTCGAATAGTTTCTTCCACATTCAAGTTATCATGATTTTCTCATATTTACTTGGGTTTTACATCTTATCTGAATTCTAATGTTCTCTATTTATTACGTCGGGCTATTCATTAAGCATCTTAAAGCTTTTCAGTATAGATGACTGATGGATTAAATATATAATAGATCTTATGGAAAATTTTTTTAAATACAATAAATTATTTATTTCGTTCAATATTCTCGTGGTCGTGTTTGACTTGTGCTATAATTCCAAGAATTTAGCCTTTATTGCTCTGCTATGTTTTTTACATTCAGCAATTAATCTCGGCCAATTTTTGTTACGCCGTAATTTTCTGCTAATATTAGAATTGGTTATTGGTAGTAAGTCTTAAAGTATAAAAAAGAGAGCAGGAAAAATGCATACACGCTAAAACTATAACTGAGGTAGAAAATGATCCTTGTTGCTAACAAAATTCCGCCAAAATATGCAAATAAGGGTGTCGTGTAATCCTTCATGGATCTTCAAGAATGAAGAAATGCAATAATACCCATGAGCACTCAAACAATCTCATAACATATCCAATCCATTTATTACGAACTAATTTAAACTAACAAAATTCTTTATTTAAAAAATCATTTGATGGTTCTTTCTTCTTGCTCCGTATCTTCGTCTTCTTCTATCGCGTTTCTCCTTCCATTCCCTCTTTTAATAACTACTTCTAAATCATTATTCAATCCTTGGATTATTTTATCATGTCCATCTGCTATCCAATTTGCTAATTCATTAATCCCTTTTCTAAGTTTTTTATTTTGTTGTTCTTGTTGTTCTTTAAATTCTTTAATAAATTTTTAAAAACTTTTATCAACGATTTACATTCTACCTCCATCCTTATTGGTTCTTGCTGTACATAAAAATATGAAATTTCTTGATCTGTATTGAATATTTCTAATAATTCTTGATCTTTATCACTTAATTATTAATATAGGAACTTATTATACCATGAGTATATACACTACTCTACAAAATTGATGATTTTTGGATTGCATAAAGTTTATGAATTTTTAATAAAATTCAGTCAGAATTTTTTTTTAAATAAAGCCAATCGATTATAATTTTTTAATATTAAAATAAAGAATTTTTCTAATTGTCGCCGCCGGTGATCATCACCGCTAAGTTCTACCTTCAACGCAATAATATTCCTATCAACTAACCCTAACCTAACCCTAAGGTTAATAATTTCTTCTTGCGGGAGATTCAAATATCATTATTATTGTTTTTAATTTTTTCCTTTTTTATATTTGAAATTTTCTTCCCTTTTTATATCTTCTGGCATTCTTATTCTTGATAGACAATCAGCAAATTGATTATCTTTCTCACTAATATGTTTCTTTTCCCATCATCATCATTCTAAGCTTACATCATTTATTATTCCCATCAAACTCATGATTACTTTTCTTGTTAGTCCATTCAACATTTCAACTATTGGTTTACAATCTGTATAAATAATTATGGGATGGGGTTCCCATCCCATTTATTTGGGCGGCAAGTATACTTCGGGATGGTTGTTGCTAGTGGATCAGATTTGTTGATATTATAATAACTATATTTGTGATATTTGTTAATGGGTTCCGACCGCTTGATTCATCCTATTAATACTTGACCTATTTGTATAAGATATATTTGTTATTATATCAGGTTTCATTAACAATAGTTTTACTAAGTGCAATTGTGCACATAAAATAATATCAATGATTATTGGTGCTTACCCATCCTCTTCCCTTTAGAAATATTAACAATATAATGTTTGTTTTTTTTTTCATTTTCAGACAGCCGATTCTGTCTAGCGTCGCGTGGCGTAGCAATTCGGTTTACGTTCACGATTAGGATCGCAACGAATAATTCGCGTTCTTTCCATCCTTTAAATTAAAATGCACACATTGGATCTTGAATCGTAAGCATGCATTACTGATCCCACTTCATGTTCAAACATCTTTCTCATCAAGCTTCACGCATGTGAAACTTCAATTTCATTCAAGCTAAAAAAAAAAAAAATGTTAATAAAAATACTTATATGGAAAATTTTAATTTCAATGCAAAAATGTATACTTCGAGATTGGCCGTTTAAGGAGATTTTGAAAAATGATTCATATCTTTCTTATCCAAGTTTGAGCGAAATCAAATAACCAATATTGAAAAAATGTCATTTTTTCATTTATTTAATGATCTATTTAACTTTTTTTTTTTAGAAGAAAAGTTTTATACATGAAAAAAAACATGAAAAAAAAAAAGAATTTACGAAATTAAACCTACATCAACATTCAACAAAATTGGATTCCTTGCATTAATACTTATGCATCTAAAGTAAAAAATTAACGCAGCCTTCAAACTTCTTGTAGAAAATCTAAAATTATTATTTGAAAAATGTTTTTAACTTAAAGTGGCCATTAACTTTGGACAATTTTTTGATATTGCTCTAATCAATTGTTTCAAAGTGCATTTTCTTATGAATGTTTTGTGCCAATATTTCAAATTGGAATAAATTCTCTATATAATAAAATAAAAAAGGACACGTTGAGATGACAACCCAACCGGGGCAAATAATTCAAATTGAAAAATAATTTTTTTCAACATTATAATTTAAAAAAAAAAGCCCAAATTGTTCCTAACACCTGAATTACCGTATTTAAGGAGGATAATCTTTAAATCATTTCTAAAAAAGGATATACCCGATGCTGAATTGTATCTTTCATGTGAAGATATTATGGCAAGCCGCCGAGGCGGCTTGCCATAATCGTTATTTATTTCTTTGAACTAAA